ACAGAGGGAGAGAGACAAAGTGGGAGAGAGACAGAGGGAGAGAGACAGAGGGAGAGAGACAAAGTGGGAGAGAGACAAAGTGGGAGAGAGACAGAGTGGGAGAGACAGAGAGTGGGAGAGGGAGAGACAGAGGGAGAGAGAGAGAGGGAGAGAGAGTGAGAGAGACAGTGGGAGAGAGACAGAGGGAGAGACAAAGTGGGAGAGAGACAGAGGGAGAGAGACGGAGTGAGAGAGACAGAGGGAGAGAGGGAGAGAGAGGGAGAGAGGGAGAGAGACAGAGGGAGAGAGAGAATGAGAGAGACAGAGGGAGAGACAGAGGGAGATACAGAGGGAGAGAGAGAGTGAGAGAGACAGAGGGAGAGAGGGAGAGACAGAGGGAGAGTGAGAGAGACAGAGTGAGAGAGACAGAGGGAGAGAGACAGAGTGAGCGAGAGAGAGGGAGAGAGACAGAGTGAGAGACAGAGTGGGAGAGAGACAGAGGGAGAGAGACAGAGGGAGAGAGGGAGCGAGAGAGTGAGAGAGACAGAGGGAGAGAGACAGAGTGAGCGAGAGAGAGGGAGAGAGACAGAGTGAGAGACAGAGTGGGAGAGAGACAGAGGGAGAGACAGAGTGGGAGAGAGACAGAGGGAGAGAGACAGAGGGAGGACAGAGAGCTGAATGGTTGATTGTCATGCTGTCGAGTCTGAAAAGGGCAGGGCAGGTATTGTGATGCGAATGTGCTCAGATAGAGAGTGGGGGGTAGTGTGTGTGTGTGTGTGTGTGTGTGTGTGTGTGTGTGTGTGTGTGTGTGTATAATGTAATCTACAGGGTGTGTCTCTCCATCTAACACTGCTGATTTAACTACCACCATCCACAGGAAAATGGTGGTGCTCCTGTAACACTGGAGGAGAGAGCTTTTTTTTCATACCTTGTCGATTTGTGTGAGATATTAAACAATTCACACAAACTTTACAGTCAGAAAGCAAATGCTGCCCGGTTGCCTTTTAGCAAGTAATACGTAAGAATCTAATAAACATGCCTCCTTTAAAATATAGATACAGGAAGCAATGTCTTTATTACTAATTGAGGAAAAAATGTTGTATTTGATGAAGCTGTTAAGCTGTGAGCCCTCTTTACTGCTCATGTGCTACTTCTTTTTTTTTTCACTGCTCAGATTTTTTATTTTTTATACTGCTGCTGTTTTTTAATTTGTTATTTTCTACATTGCTGCTGAGTTTCTGTTCATTAGCTCAGATTTAACGTTTTTTAACTCTCATTATATTCTTGTTTTTTCTTTTTCTTTTAGACTATTACGCACTGTTTCATTCTCACCAGTCACAAGTCACCTTCATTGCACAGTATGACGACAATTCAAATTAATTGAATTTTTTTCTTTTATCTTTGAAGTTGGATTCTTTACCCCGTTTTCGTCTTTGGGAGGGAGTGGGCCTGTGTGTGTGTGTGTGTGTGTGCATTGAAAGTCTGATATATTGTGTGCAAACAAATATAAACCATATACCTGCTGTCCTACAAAACATCTTAACTGAGATCCGATTACCTGTGTAATAGAGGAGGCACGGCAATGCAACCAACAGCTCCAACCCCAGCACGCTGAGCAGCACGTAGGTTTGCACGGTCAGTGATAATCGCATGGCCAGAACAATCAGCAGCAGAACATTTCCTGCACAGAAACATACAGAAATACAAACACACGTTCCTCCTTCAGCGTTACTGCCATCTTGAGGCGGAAACTGACCTCTACATGTTCAGTAAACGGGTTCCTAGTTGTGTGCAGCTGTACCTGCAGAGTGCACGGTGAGCGGCAGATGCTTCAGTCCCTGCGTCTGTCTGTAGAATCGCAGGTATCCTCTGCTCCTGGCCTGGCTGTGGTGGTGCTGCACACACCCAGTGAACAACAGCACCAGCACCCATAAACACACCTTCCCAAACACAATGACACTGTCGCCTCGCACGTTACCCAAAATATTCAAACACACCTCCTTTTGGCCCAACTCCAACACACACAGCACTGCCACACACATTGACAACACCACGTACACAACCTGAAAGGAAGGAGAGAGCACTGTGAGTGAGACAGATATGTGGAGCAGGAGATGATAGACAGCACAGACCAGCACACACTATCAATATTATTACACATTGAAAATAAACAGGTCACTGCCAGTATCCAGGTTAGGAAGGCAGATTAGATAAATGTCTTCAAATGTGTTGCGTTTTAATACACAAGTATAGGTCTGGAACCTATTTTCATTATCAGATTTTTCCTTGAAAAATTATTTAGATGACTAATTGATTATTAAACATTATTAAACATTTTGCTATCAGCAGTTTATTTCCAAATTCAACTGTTTTTTTTAAATTCATTTGTAATCCAAAATAATTCAGTTTTTCTGTTCTGTGTTTTCAAAGTGTGTGTGTGTGTGTGTGTGTGTGTGTGTGTGTGTATGTGTGTATGTGTTTGTCCTACATGTAGCAGAGACAGCAGGACAGCATGGCAGGGTGTTGGAATGGTCTGAAACTCTCTCCTGATGGCGGAGTAAAGGGCGTCGGCAGAGATCAGAGGTCCGTCCACCAAAGAGTCCTCCTCTGTGCTTCGTGTCATATCTACTGAGGAGCCTGCCGGCTAAAACAAACAGCATATTATAAAGTTACAATAGGCCCGTCTTCAAACAGACAACAGAGATACATAACATACACAACAGAGTTGTTGATATAACAGCAAATTGTGCATCTACTATGTCCCTTTGACCACCATGTTTTGGCATAAACATCTCATTCATGCATACTGGTCTAAAGTAACATAATGTACATAACTTTCTAATGTTGCACCTGATTTATGTATATGTTTCTTTTTTATTGCATCACTTGTGCACTACAACTCAGAGGGACATATCGTACTTTTACGCCACTACATTCTTCTGACAACTTTAGCTTCTTTGCAGATTTAGATCAATAAAACAAAATATAATCAACAAACAAATGACAGAGCACAACAGGTTAGGATAAGTATATAGAAAGTGTATAAGCAGTTTAAATTAGCTCCAACTTTAGCAGCTGTAATATTCAAGTGATGTATACATTCATGCATCAATATTAATGACCTATCCTGAAATGCATCACAAGTACTTTTAGTACTTATTTTGAGGCAGTATTACAATAGTGTCTCCAGTATTACAATAGTACTTATCCTCATATCTGTGAGTACTCATGTAATTGATTATCTTCCAGTAATGACTAATGGCTCATTCCACTTCCAAAGACAACAACAACAAAATACAACTCACAACTAACTGACTACAATCCACCCGGACCACCATTTTTCAATGAAAGGACTAAGGGGAGCAATAACAGCTGGTCAGTTTATTTAAGACATATCTGTGTATGACTATGTGTTTGTACCTGAAAGTGAAAGTGAAACCCTAACCCTTAGAAATGATTAATCTAAATTATGCACCACAACAAACATGACATTCACAAAACAGGAAACAGCCGAAGAAACCCACGAAATAACGTCTAGTTTATCTGATCATTTTAAATGCTATAACAGTTGCTACACGACAGATACAAAGTCGCATATCTTGCTGTTTTTAGCTTACTGGCTAGCTAACACAGGCTAACTAGCACACAGAGCACGTAGCTGTTGATATGTCCAGTCAAAGGTGAACGACGGGTACATACTGCATAAAGAGAGGGTCCCTTTGACTCCATTTTGTTTTGATGTTCCACGTTTTTAAAGAAGAAATGACAAAACAACAACAAACAACCATTAGCTTACATGCTCTAAAAGGGGCGGGTAGGAAACGTAGGAAAATATTGGTGCATTTCCGGTCCCCTTACTTTATATTTCCTCTGTTTAACGTTAGTTCCTAGCACAATTAATCCAGCACTTTGATTGTAATTATTTGCAGAACAACATCAACCATGTCCTGCAATACTATTATCTTTTGTTAATTGTATTTTGATTGGCTGCCAGAGGATTTACAGAAGACACTTCTTAATACTTTACCGTTTTGATAATTGTGCATTCAAAAACAACAACCTTTGGTTCCCATAAGATTCCTCATCAAGCCATCTCTATTATCCAAGGAAATCCTTTACTTTTTGCTTTACACAAATACAGAAACAAGCATGAAAAAGTACAATTTTAGGTATCAATTGCTGGGAATAACATGTATTGATTAAGAATTTGAAATTTTGAAGTTTTGTTCTACAGAGTTATGGTAATTCAGCCCATGATTGTCATGATTGGTTGATTGTCGATTGTTTACAGCCAATTCTATGGACGAGTGTTGGGAACACAGATCACAAAGCTGTGTATTGTAATTGGCTGTGATGGTGGAAAGTAAATAATCGAAGTGCACTTACTCAAGTACTGTACTGTTATGTGTTTCACTACAATGCCACTGAATATTCCACAACCTTACAGAGGTACATTATACTCCATATGTGTCAAACAGCTATAGACATTAGAAGCTTTTATGGTCAAAAACATGACACATTTATAAAAGCATATATTTTAAATTCAACCACCCAACATTTGATATATAATAGTTACTAATAACTCTCTCAATCAGCTACAAAATTAAAATACTGTTTACACAGTAATGCATAGCAAGGGCGGAGACCATTCTTGAAGTACTTTTTTACACTTCAAGTACATTTTGTTGAAATTACTTCTGTACTTTTGATGCAGGACTTTTGCATGTAACAGTATTTTTTACTGATCTAAATACTTTCTACACATTTAAATGTAGATCTATGCACATTTTTCTGGACAGCTAGTATACTTAACATGCTTACTAAAAGTGCATTTTAATTAAAAAAAAAGACACAAACAATCCCATTTAAAATATTTTATTGATAAACATACACTTGCTATAAAAGACAATGAACTGAGCGCTCTAGTCCTCTGAGTGATGAAGACGCTGTCAGGTGTTCAGATAGAAGCAACGACACACAAAGGACAGAGACATTCAGCTCAGACTCTGGGGAGGCAACACTTGTGATAGAGGCAGACGAGGAGAGATTATAGGACATTGTGTTTGTACGGGGGAATAATTAACCGGGGAAGCAGCAAATCACTTTGTTTCATTGGTTTAGCTCATGGGAGGGGGTGGAAGAGAACAGCAGGTGATTAGGAGATCTATTTTGAATGTTTTTTGCTGGTATGGAACTGTGCTTCAAGTCAAATTACACATTGCTTACATACCTATACATGCATGATTGCATACACACACACACACACACACACACACACACACACACACACACACATACATACATGTGCCGAGACTCAGAGGTCCGTGTGAGTGTGAAATTACTCCTCCACATACACTAGCCCTCGCATTCTTTACATAAGGCACTGATTCGGATGCAGTCAGTCTATGAGAAAAAACAATGGCTAAAACATCCTAAAGGGAAAATATTTAAAAATCCAAAGAACAACAAGTATATAATTAATAACATGCATTCTCATTCCAGTAAAATTTATTGTAAATAAAAAAAGCTTGTGTGAGTTAGCCAGATTCCCATAACAATTCAAAAACATCATGATGATGATGTACAACATACAAGAGGAAAGTTAAAGTTTAGCTGTTGAGAAGATAGCAACGACATAGGTCAAACTCACACTACTGCATCTGAGCAATACTCACAATAACTTATATAAGTTCTTCTTTCATGCAAAACTGTAAACACAAAACCCCAAAAGAATGAGAAGGTATGACGATGAGTAAGGCATTATAATGGTCAAGCTACTTCAGGTTATCCAACCCAAACCAGTCACGTGATCAGTGCAGAAGCAGCGGTTAATGGATCAAGATTTTGAGACTGATGGTGGTTCAGCTTTTAGCGAAATATGTTAAGCTTGTGACAGAACTGAGCCTTATTTTAGCGTCTTAACTGTGCCATGTATGGGTGTGCAAAGATTTAAACACACTGATTTCTTGATTACATCCATGCTACACATATTCAAAATGTTAAATGTGTACAGTTGTATACATGTGTACAGTTAATAAGCACAAACACACACACACTGTACTTGTACTGTATGTGCATGTGATGATGGTCAATCAGTCCGCATATTAGTCCAGTTTTCGCTTTCAGTAGAATCCATAAAGCTGTTTGTGCATTTTAGGAAAAGAAAACAATTCTTCTCCATCCAATCACTGACGAGGGCAATGGGTGAGGGGTGAGGGGAGAGAGCAGAGGGAGGGGGGGGGGGGGGTCCAGTTCAAATGCAGGTCATCATAGTGTGGTGGGCTGACCTCTACCTGCATACAAACACATGGGAAGGTGTTTAAGTCTGCTCTCATAACTTATAATTAGGTTGTTCAATAACTGTGTTTGTCTGATTGTGTTCTTGTTGGAGCCACTTTATTCAACCCTTGAAATAAGGAAATAGGTGAGATGGTGTTGTCAATTCGGCCCCTAACCCCATTTTAGGAAGGTCTAAAGTTAAGATAGTTTAAATAATTAATACAGTTTAGAATAGTGGCAATACTTATAAGTAAAAGTCAGACATTCAGAATTTTACAAGAGAGCACGAATGATTTAGCTAAATGTACTTAACTATGAATGATAAATATGTGAAAGTCCATTCCAGTTTTTGAAATGATGGAAAAATACACCAGAAAATGCAGGTACCTGTCTCTACCGTTAACACATGATTGACATTTCTGTTACTACTTCCACAATGTAATCCTCCCTCTCTATGAAGACCAGCTTCTTGCCCGCCACACCCTTGAATGTGGGGTAAGAAGCTGGTTAAGTCTAAAACGCCTTTAAAACATAAAGAAGTATAATAATGTAGTTAATGGGGGGCTCTCATGACTATATATGTGTGTGTCAGTCTCTGTTTGTGCATGTCTTCTCACCCCGAGATGCAATATAGCACTCGTGACAGCTCAGCAGTCCATTACGAATTCGTACATCAGTCCCAGCAGTGGCGTCACCCAGCTGCCCATCACACACTCCACACTGAGGAGGAGACATACAGTTAACCATCAACATTACACACAGAAAGGATTGTTTTAGACAGGCTATCAAATGGTTAAATGTGTCTCCCAAACACCAAGGATGAGAATCGTACAATAAGAATTATGACTGCATCTTTTGTATGTATTCACACTACCCTGGAGATAATTGGGATGTACACATGCTTTAGTAAACTTTGTACATCTTCAAAACCTTTCTAGAAGATGTGTATAAAGTATTGTTTGTGTGTGTCCTAGAATAGTACAGTACCTTGAAACACTGTATGTGGAAAAACAGTCCAAGTGTATCGATGATCATGGCAGCTCCTTTTTCCAGTGGTTGAGAACAACCAGAACACAGTCTCTTCCCACTAACACATCTACACCCACGCACGCACACACACACACACACACACACACACACACACACACACACACACACACACACACAAGACAGGAGGAAAATGGACATTAAAGGGCCTTCACTCCATTAAACAACAAAGCCTAACTTCTGTCAAACATGTTTGTAGTTGTGTATGAGTGTTTGTATAGCCTCCCTCACCTGCTGGGTGAGGGAGGCTGAGGTGCTGAAGGAGAGGGCTGCTGTTTGTTTATCACAGCGTCATGTGATTCAGACCTGTGGTGAAAAAACAAAAACAAATATATGCACATCCAAAACATCCAAAACATGTTTGTAACACATGTCAGTTGATTCTTACTTAAGTAAAGCCTGTTAGGTTGAAAATTTGTATATTTTTCAAGGTTCATTAAAAAAAAAAATGTTCATAAACAAACGCACATTTTTCCCCCTGATATAAAAAATTCAAAATGATGTTCCTATCAATACTTAATGGATCATATTAGTTAAAGACTATGTAACTTCTGAGAGATAAAAACACATTCTTCGTCATACAAATGGAAAGTTGAATTCACAATTAATAAAACGCACCATTGCTGAATCAAATACACTCGGCTGCAGCCTCTCTTGGTCTGGTATGACCAGTAGCTTAATGTAGCTATTGTTAGCATTAGTCAACATAAGGTAAATATTGTTATTATAATGCTTATTACTGTGTCAGTTCACTGACTTACAGGAATGACTCTTCTCCACTTATGCTTATGTAACATTAGCTTAGCATTGCAGCTAAATGTTTATTATCTCACATTTGTCACTTCTATCTACAGAGGCCGCTATTCAAAGTTACATACGTTTTTCGCTTTAACTCACTGTTACGTCATACATTACTTTATACGCTACCGAATTAGCTAGAATCCAGCTACATAGAAAATGACACTTCAGACCCAAAGACTTGATCAGCCTTTGAAAGCGTTACTTTTAAATGTGATATAAGAAAGGTCACAACAACTTCACATACATTCAGGACAAACATGCAGCAATATGGGACAATCCTGAAATACAGATTGCATACCTTTTAGTAATATGTGCCTGGTTCAGCTGAAGGTTGCGATCCAGAGAGGCCGTCTTCCACAGTTCTTGTTTCTTCACCATCACATGTAGAGGTTCACCATCACATGTAGAATCTGAGAATATATATCATAAAATAACCTTTTATAAGAGAAACTCTGAGGACTACATGTTTGAACTGAGATTGAATGAGCTGTGCAAACACAAATGTGGACACCTCCTGTATAACAATGTGTATTTCAGCGTGTTCTCACCCTGGAAAAAATGCAGCTTGGATGCATGTTGATCCTCGTTCCCTGTTCTTTGGCCGTTTTGCTGCTCAGCAACGTTTCCTCGTTCTGTCTCGTTGTTTTCTGGAGCTGATGAAGTCGTCCCCGTCTGGCCCGACTGCTGGTTTAACAAACCCATTGGATTTAAGGGTGTTACAGTCTCCTCTAGGATCTTTCTCTCCTGGAAGTTGTACAAAAAAAAAAAAAAGACATACAAAAGACATACAAAAGCAGGGAGTGATTCTTTTAATTTTGTCAGTCTGCGTGTGATTGTACCTCTTCATTGTGTTTTCTCTCCTCCTCCTGCACTTCTAGTTGTGCTTTCTCCCACTCCTTCTTCAGCTTCTCCTGTTCTCTCTGGTATTCCTCCTGCAGAGAAAAATTGTGCATGTTAAATACTGAATGCAACAAAAAAAACATATATCACACACACATATATATATACACACACATATATATACACATCCAGTACACCCTGTGCCTTCGGTTTTTCTGGTAAACATACAAGGTGCCATGCACATAAACGCCATTCCACCAGTGTACCTGTAGGAGGCGCTCCTGCTCTTGTTGCCAACTTTCCAGGCGTTTACGTTCCTCATTGGGGTCCCAGACCCAGTGATTAACACGTTTAGCCAAGTTCAACATGGGGGTCTCAATCTACCCAGACCCGACCCAACAATCACGCAGACACACATGTACACGGACCAAAAGGACAGAAAGAGAGGAAAGGTGAGAGGACAAGTCTGACTACAGCGACTACAGGAGACGAAGGGTCAGGACAGGGTCAAAGCTAAGAATGAAGGAGAAACAGAGAAAAACAAGCTGGGGCTGCTGAGAGATACTCACAGTCACACTGCTCTCCTCAAGTCCCTCTGTGGCAGAGAAAGAAACAGACAAACACACAGATAAACTAAATATATCAGAATAAGAATCACTCTTATTGGCCAAGTATGTGCACAAATACAGGGAATCTGACTCCGGTTTTAAGTTGCTGTCAATGTACTTACACACAGAACAATTTACAGAAAGATAGAAATTGACATACAGCTAAAAACAATGTCGACAAAACTGAACAAAAATATACAAAAAGTAACTGTAAAAGTAAATGATACAGAATGTTTGCAGCAGAGAACATGCTGTAAGCGATACTATATCAAATACTATAATTTACAAAGTTTACCTGTGACGGTGGGAGAATATTCTCGCATGCTGTTTGGCGATGAAGCTGGCTGAGCCTTTTTTTCCTCCACTAGACTCTCAGATAACCCAGAACTACCGTTGACCTGAAAGTCAAATTATTCAACCAAATGAATGAAACATTAACTGAATATTTATCAAAAATTAATGGACCACTTGTTTACCAGTTTAAAGTTGAAAATATACCATCGCTTTTGTTCTTCAGGCAGTCGCTGGCTTCAGTTCATGTAAATTCAATATTAAAATCAACCTGCAGAGACTCTAAACTTTACATAAGACATCCATCACTGCGAACAGTGTGAGAGTGTTTCAGGTTAGGCTCATGTCTCTCCACTGTGAGTTACAACTTCTGCCCTCTTTAAGGCAATATAAAGTTCCCAGATGACGACTGACCTGCAACAAAATATTCTTTATGTTCTTAAATTTTAAACTAAGGAAGGAAAAAATACAACTAGTTTCGGGTTTGTGCAATGGCCATTTATGGTTATGTGAATTTCTTCTGATTGTTTTTAATGTCTTTTTAATGTTTTATGTCTGAATCATATTTATTGTTTTCATACTGCAGTGCGGAGTTGAAGACAAATTTCCCCATGGGCACATTAAAGAATGCGCTTCCAAGACCCGAGTCAGCTGCTGAACTGCATCTTTTTAATGAAAAGAGTAACTAAATTCACAACACCATTTTTTAACAGCACCCATGTCTGCTTTCAGTTTGTCCCCCGGGTTTCATGTTCCACTAACAAAGCTCATGAATACTATGAAGAACGGCTGACACTAATGTTAAGGTGTCAAGACTTTCCATGAACACTTGAATGCACCAAGGTGGAACATCCATGAAAACAATTCACACTTTTTTTCCATGCAGCGAAAACACAACTTTCACAGAGTAACTATGATGGATCTCCTCTCACAAGCTAATGTCACATTTCTGCAGGGTGATCTTCATAATATTGAAAAGAACTGAAAAGTATGGCTTTCTGGTCATCAGTAATGTGAAGCGTGCATTATTTACAGTATAATAAATGGACTAACCCAGAAGAAACACAGGTTTTTATGTCTGTTAACATGCCACATGTGATATTACCTGTCCATTGATTTGGATGTCCGGGTGATGTGGCTCCACATGTGTGAGCTCGGTCACAATAGTTGTCGTGATGGTACAGTTTCGGCCTCCAATCAGGGAGCTGATGGCAGAGCCTAAAGACGAGGTCGATTTTTCCGTCTGTGGAGGCGGCGTCTGCACCACCGTCTCCTGATGGGCCGAAATCTGCTCGGGGGGAACGTCTTTCACTGTCTGCTGTGAGGGAACGTCTTTCACTGTCTGCTGTGAGGGAACGTCTCTCTCTGTCGTCTTTGAGGGAACGTCTTTCACTGTCTGCTGTGAGGGAACGTCTTTCACTGTCTGCTGTGAGGGAACGTCTTTCACTGTCTGCTGTGAGGGAACGTCTCTCTCTGTCGTCTTTGAGGGATTGTCTTTGACCTCCGGTGGTGAGTGACGAACAGCGGTAGGTGGAGTGGAAACAGATAAATCCTTCGTCACCTCTCCATTCACTCGCACCAACCCGTCCATCTGAGTGGGACAAATGCATAGAAGTTAGGATTATAGGGAGAGTACATTTTTCTTATTTAGTGAGAATAACACAAACTCATGGATGTCATTTTTATGACTGCAGGCATTTTGAAGATATGGAAAAAACGTATATCCTTCTCCAACTCAGTGGAGGTTTAAGGGATCAGTTGCAGCTCCTGTTGAACACATCATCTCCAATCACTTTGATTCATTCTTCTTAACAAATGTCTTTACATATATTTAGCTTTAATGTGAAATTCTCCCACTTACACTATGGTTTGTGAATACTTTTTTTAGGCTCAGGGTTTGAGCTTCGATCCACAACATTATGAAATTAACAATGCAAACCAACACTGACAACAGAATATAGAAAAAGTGAAATTAAGGAGCATGGTCGACCACATGAGCAACGACTGGAAGCCAAAGACTTGGGAACTAGTATATACTGTAAGTACACATATTTGTATTCATCTAGTCTGTAAAGACAAATTGATCAGAGGTTTGACCTTCAATTATTTTGTTGTCAGTGAAGATCCACATTAAGTTCTGAATCCTAATATGTTGTCCAGTAAGAAGAGCACTCCTTCTTGTGGAGAAGCTATAAGATGCGTTTCTGCTTTTTGAGAGAAGTTGGTACTTGTTGCCACGACTGACTATCGCTGACATATTATTGAACACATCCTCAAACTGTAACTAAAGAACTAAAAACAGCATCCGTGTCAAAAAGTAAGAAGTAAAAATGTTAAAACTTCCTAAATATAACAGACGCCCCCTTTCATGTAAGCATGAGGTCAGGCGTTGAGGTGGAACAGTGAGTATCAGATGATGCTGACTGCTGTGACCGATATTCTCACCTTGACAGGTTTGTGTCCGGACTGTGTGTTCCTGGGCTGGCAGTAGGGCTTGGCTGCCAGTAAGGGGACGGGTCTGCTGGATACAGATGGAGGTGAGGGGAGTGAGTGTCCAGGCTGTGTGGTGTGAGGCTGCACATGTGCAATGTCAGTGTGTTTGGTTTGAGGCTTTGCGTCTCCTGCAATCGGTTGTTTTTGTTGTGTGGTTGGAGTCGGTTTGGATCGAGGTTCATTCAGTTCTAGTGACTGATGTGGCACATTTTCTGACTTTGTGACCGGGCTGAGGGGGCTGCCAGCTGTTGGGAAGCTGGAGGAGACTGACACTGATGTCTCTTGATGAGCAGTTATATTTGTCTCCATCTCCTCCGTTTCTGTGTGCCTCTGGTCTTTCATAACAGGCGGTTCTGGTTTGTGCAGAGGTTGTGATGCTTCATTAATAGGTGATGCCGTTTTGTTCTCCTTGTCCGCCTGATGAAGGTCCTGTTTGGGATTTGCAGTGGATTTGGGCAGTTTTAGACTGTCCAGTGTTGCGTCACTGATGGTGAAGCGAAGAGCGTAACGCTGTAAAACCATGGCGGCCTCCTCCGGAGTTGCAGCATTCCTGTAGGCGTCGCACAACTCGACCTCTCTGCGTTCCCTAGACAGAGAAGTAAGTAGAGAACAAAAAGTATTTGGTATCTTGGTCGTGTTTATGATATTGAATGTTGTATCGTTGCATATCAAGGTTTAAAATTGGCCAACGTTAAATAAGTCTGTCTCATGTTAAGAGCCATATACAACAGTACAAAGCGCCTCAATATCATCCTTACTTCTCCTCCACGATCTCTTTGTAGGTCTTAATGCTTTTCCTCTTGTTGCTGTCACGTCCCTCCTCCTTCATCCTTTTCTCCATCCTCTTCCTCTCTTCCTCTTTCTTGATCAGTTCCTGTGACGCGCTGCGACGCCGATTCTTCCAACGAGCCAAGTCCTGTCACGGGTCCACAGGGTCGAATAGTGGCAGAGTTAATTCAGGGTATTGCTGTTATTTCAATAAGATGCACATAATATGTTCCTCTATAGCTTGTAGATGGACTCTACATGCTCAATTTAAATGTCATAAGTCTCTTACGTTTTGCCAGTGGTCGTCATCTTCCTGAAAGTTGTTGTACTGTTCGTGCATTCGCTCATTACGTGATTGGCTCAGTGGCGGTAAGTGTTCCACCTCTTCCTCATTAAGTATGTCACTCATGCTCACGCTCCTAGAGAGAGAAAAAAAAAACCAGTATAATCTTGAAAAAAATACTGAATCACTGGACCCAACATTTTCACTTTGTCCAGTTTGACTCTGGAAAACAGAAAATATTCCATTTTAATTCATTTATTGTTTACTTTGTTCACTACAAAGCAAGACATACTCAGACGCAACCAATGACCTCCACACAGTAACACAAATATGTTACTGTTTCCATAAACTAATCACAAAGCAATTAAACAAGCAATTGAGCAAACAAAACTAAGCGAACACATTCATAGGTTATAATAAAAGACTACTATAAATTATAATTAAAACAAGCAAAATAATGCAAAATAAAACTGCATTAAAAGTAATGAGTTAGTAATGAGTCATGACGTGACAATGCACAGCAATGAGCACACTGTTAGTGTGGCGTATATTCATATTTTGCTGGACTGTACTCTTGAAATTGAATGTGCACCGTGTGTGTGTGTATATATCATTGTCATGCAGAAGATCATCCAGGTTTATGCCGAAAGACTTACTCAGTGTCCTCAGACATAAAAGCAACTCGCCGGCTCATCCTAAAACAATAACAAAATAAAGTGAATGAGAGGAAAGAGTAAGTGAAGCAATGGGCAGCAGCAGCATTCATGTTAATGTCACACTTCAGACTGGATGAATGGCAGAGCTAAATCTGAGAGGGTGGAGTGATGAAGACACAAAAGGAGCATCTCACATGATGGGAGGTAGATCGTCGTCATCCAGCCAGAAGGGTTGCCTTCGTGGCTCCCCGTTCACGTCCTTCTTCCTCTCCTCCACCTTTTCCTCAACTCTTTCCTCCACACTCTGTTTTTCCAGCCCTGCCTCCACTTTACAAGTCCGGGCAGTCGCAGGACGGGATGGAGAGGAGAGGGGCTCGGTCACATCTGTGACAGAGCTGTTAGGGGTTGTCATGCCTCCCTCTTGCTTTACATCCTCCTCCCGCCGCCTCTCCCTCAGCCCTGCACACTTAGGGAGGGTTGGGGCTTTGGAGAGCGGAGCCTGAGGTTCTGCTGCCACGTTAACGACGCTGTTAAATCCAGTGACAAGGCCAAGATTACCAGGAAGTACAGCTCAAGGGATAAATCAAGACCGCATCGCAGACAACAGAAGTCGGCAGCTGAAATGATGTCTGTTTTCACGATGTTGCACTTCCTAACACACAGCCATAACAAGCTTAAAGAGTCAGTATGTGTAGTATGTTCTGCCCCCACCACAACACAATGAAGGTGAGTAGAATTGTGCTCAAAACTTTGAAAAATGAAATGTATAAAATTCTAAAGCAGCATCTCTCTACAGAAACTGTCAGTTTAGATAATCCATAGATCTTACTGTGATCTGTTGTCACAAGAACTACATTTTAATGAAGATAAAGAAGATCATGAAGATGTGTAAGTCCACATTCTGTATGTGAGGTCAATATTACATTTCTGGAGTTCCCCTACCAACTAATTATTATCAATTATCTTATGATTGATAAATCAATTGTGTCAGCACTATTAACTTGTGTCTTGGTGTCTAGCAAACGTTGAAAGATGAATATATCAAAGGAAGACACCACTACAGGTAAGCCAAAAATATGTGTTTGCTATTGTACAGGTTTGTGCTTTCCTAATATTTTGCTTGGAAGTTTTTTGGTTTTGTCATTTGGTATGACTTATACGAATGTCTCTATGTGATTCAGCAGTGATTTACACTTTAAATACAAAAGATAACAGCTGATCACTGAACTAGAACAAAAACAACCAAAGTCATGCCAAACAAAGCCAAGGCTAAACTTCAACAGCAACAAAAACCCGAAGGCCAGATAAGTCCAAACCAAGCACAAACTTTGCCAAGCCATATGAGATCCAGAAGTCAAACAATCCGACCATAACAACAAATCAAAGTCAACCAGTTCTTTCATATACAAATAATATAAATGAATCCACATCAAGCGTCCAGCTGCAGGCGCTCAAACATGCTGGCATGGAATCAAAACAACAACACAGTCAGGATCAACTATAACTCATCTACAGAGACTTAATAGTGTTAGTACCACAGGCCATTTCACTTGTACACATAATCAAACCTTCATCTTTGCCAGTAGAATATGCTTTGTTAGTTGCAGTAGTTGGCCGACACCACAATCTCCTCATCAATCAAACACAGTGAAATACCTTTCACTAGCCATCTTCTCTGTGAGTTTAGGTCTGTTGCGTAGTGGCTTCATTGCAGACACTGGGGCGATGTTGTATTTAACTGATCCAGGGACCGGCAGGAACCGGTTGATGGGCTGGTTTGTTCTGGCCGCACTCGGTTTTTGGAACGACCCGGTCCTCCGAGCCATCATATCGTCCTTCTCCAGGTCAGGCGCAGGCTCATTTTCATCATATTCATCCTCATCATCTTCATATTCAAATTCGCCGTGAGACGTTGCTCGGATGACAGTCGTGTCGGGGTGAAGTTGAGACGCTTCCATGGGATCTCTGGGCGTCTGTTGCTCCACTCTATGACAGAAACTCCTATAGTTGAAATGACTAAACATTAAGCTGGAGAATCTCTTTGAGGATGCAAGCCACTCCAAGCGTGTTAGGGCCTTCTCAAACTGTTAAGACACACAAATCTCAGCCCACCTGACGTTCAGTTTCTTGCTCCTGCCCGCCTGCACGTCCCTTTTGTTCCTCGGAGCAGCGTCAGTGGTGTCCTCCCCTTGCGTGCAGCGCTTGGTGCTGGGCAGAGGCAGGAAACGGTTGTAAGTCGCTTTAGCGGTGCTTTGCTTATGGAAAACTCCTGTCCTCCTCGCCATCATGTCATCTTTCTGAGGATCCGGACTCTTGTTCTCTTCCTCATCATCTTCCTCCTCCTCCTCTCTTCTCCGTTCATATTGATCCAGGCGTGCATCCAGCTCAGTGACAGTAGAGCGTGTGGTTTGATTGAGGTCTGCTCCATCTACCTGGCTGTGAGAGCACCATATAAAGCTCAAACTGCAGCAACAGTGATGGATACTATCGTCTTAAAATCCAGGCGTGAACATGCAGGAAAGAAGGCTAAGCGTACAGAATACAGATCGTAAAGAAGGACAAATTTAAAATTATAAGCCCTTCTTGCAACAAACAAATAAAGGTTAGAAAAAAGAAAAAAACATGCAAAACAATAAATAAATAAAAAAGACCTGTGATAACATTTTAAGCTTTTTGACCATCATAGTCACACGATAACCTCCATACTTAATATATATATATCTAGCTCTACTTGTCACTGCAGCATGTGCATGCATGTGTGTGTGTGAGTGTGTGTGCCTTTGTTTCCTATCAAAACTACAAGCAAATCAACACAATGCAAAGAGGTGCATCCAAACTACCATATTTACTCATTCAAATAGGCCTGAAATGCAAAACATGTCACAAAACGACAATGACACGCAATTCAATTAAACCATTTCATTAGTTGTGGAACAGAAAGGGAGCTTTTCATTCCTCAATGCAGTCCACACTAATGCAATAGACTTTGGAGTCAAGCCATTGCAGCCTAAGTTGTCTCTTGTATTTGGCCTCGTCCATACCTGCGTTCCCACTCTGAAAGCTGGGAGCCCAGGCCAATGGTAGGCATGGCTACAGTTGCCTTGGAAAGGAGTCGTCTTAGCAACTCCGTCTCCTCCCCTTCACTTGACGTGACTGTGTCTATTGGCTGCTCGATCTCAGTCACGCCCCCAAAGGTCACAACTTTGCAGTGACCTCGTCCTGCCTTTGCAGATCCGCTGAAAGGACTCCCATAATTTTTCTCCAGACAAGCTTGACACACAGGGGCCGGGCTAGCCTCACTGTAGATACAATCTCACAAATGAAGACAGGCACACACACACACACACACACACACACACACACGCACACAGAAACACACAACGACAGCCAGCAAAAGAGCAGTGGGAAATAAAGAGGGTGGTAAATCATGAGCAACCAGAGACAGAGGATCAGACTGTGAAGACAAAGGAAGGATGAGGTGGAAATGATGAATCAGACAGGAAGTGTGGATGGACAAAAGAGGACAATGCATGGGGTTCTGTGGTTAAATCCCTTTAACACATACGTACATTCACAACACACACACACCGAGCTTTTTATCTACTCTATAGCCACATTTTCATGGTAACTACAGCTCCTCTGGGAATACAAAAAACTCTTTATCCTATCTAATGACATCAGCGCAGAGAGCGAAAAACAAAGCCGAAGCAGTGCTCACAGCCAACAGTTGCCTCTCTTTTGGTCACACACACACACACACACACACACACACACACACACACACACACAC